CTTCCCGCCACGGGGCAGTGGCGGGGGGGGGGAATGCCCGCTGCCCCCCCAGCCCCTGCAGAGCCTGGGGGGGTCCCACAGGCGAGTAACGGGACCCAGGTATTTGAGCCCAACCAAGTTTTTAACAGTAGATTTTTTTTTCCTGTGAGAAACGGTGTGATTTTTTTTTTTTTTGTAATTTATGTAAATAAAGTGGTTTTGTTTTGTTTTGTTTGTTTTGTTTTTTAAATAGACTCTTCCAGAGCTCAGGTCCCTCCGAACCTGAGGGAAAAAGGGTAGGACCCTCGCAGAGGGCAGAGCCACGTCACGATACGGGGGGGCAGCAGGGTCTGGGGGCCATATGACACCCCCTGGCTCACGTCCTGCCGGCCGCAGGAAGGTGGCACACGAAGGACGTGGGGCACAGCTCCAGGGTCAGGGTTTTACTGACCCAGCTCCGGGGCCAGGGGGCTAAGAGCCGTTGGGGGCTTCGGGGCTGGAGGCTGCGGCCCTCCGCCTCAGGGGGATGATGCAGATGCTGTTTTTGGCTTCTTTGATTCTCCACCACCGGCCAAGCCTGTAGATACAAGAGAAAGGGGTCACCCTCTGCCAAGCACCCCAGGAGGAAGGGGGCTGCAGTGCCAGGGAGGGGGACAGTACCGGTGCTCCTGCCCGACGCCAGCCACCAGGAAGTCACCAGTTGCTGAGAACTTGAGGCTGTTGACAAAACCCACCTGGAGGGGACAGGGTGGAGGTGAGGGACTCCCGCAGCTTCCTCCCATCCCCTAGGGAGAGCCCCCAGTAAGGGGGGGCTCAGCCCAGCTCCTGCATCCCTAGCCACCCCCATCCATACCAAGGGGATGTCCCAGAGGGACTCCAGCTTCCGAAATCCCTCACCGCACTTCCAGAGCTTCACGCTGGCGCTGTGGGAGCCTGGGGCAGAGAGAAGAGACTGCCATACACCCTGTCCAGGCGAAAGGAAGAGGACATCACCCCCCACACACACCCTGCACCCCCAAAACCTCTGCTCCAAAGCAGCTGCCACACACCTGTAGCCAGGAGGTCACTGTTGCGCAGGGCGGCCACCGCCGAGATCCAGTATGGCTCCTGCAGGCCCCGGGTGTCCTGCATGCCGTGTGCCTGCCGGGCCAGCGCCAGCGGCTTCTTCTTTGTCAGCCCCCACAGGGCTACGGACCTGCCAGAAAGGGGTGAGGGGGCCATGTGGGCACCACCTGCCCATCCCACCCACCGCCCCGGCCCTGTGCTCACCCGTCATCGGCGCCCGACACCATGTGCTCCTCGTTGATGAGCTGGATACAGTCGATGGAGCCCCTGCGACGAGAAGGAGCAACTCCCATCAGTTACGAGCGTGCTCTGGGATCCTTCTCAGGAGACAAGGCTTCACCGGGGCATCAGCACCCCCAGGGTGCTGGCAGGCTCTCGGTGTGCTTAGCATCCATGCCACCACTGCCCCAGCCATGCCCGCAGCCCCCCTCTCCCGTCCCAGACCTACTGGTGGCCACAAAACACGAGCTGTGACTCTTCGGGGATCTTCCAGAGCCGCACGGTGCCGTCCCGTCCCCCCGCTGTCACACAGCACTCCCGGCTCAGGCTGTCCAGCCCCGTGATGACATCCTGGTGCCCAAACCTGGAGGGAGAGATGGCAAAGAGCTGCGGCAAGCACGGCCCCGCTGCCACATCGCCTCCCCGAGTGCCTCGGGTCCCCTCCCGAGATCTTACAGGGTCTCCACGTATGCATTCTCCGCCACATCCCAGACCTTGACGCAGCGGTCGTGGGAGGCACTGTAGAGCTGGTGTGTGCCCTTCCGAAAGGACAGGCCCTGTGGACGGACAGACAGACAGACACAGGGGCAGCGGTGAGGGGCACCCGGGAGGACGGTGCTGCCTGGCCCTGCAGCCGATGCCCCCCACTCACCGAGACAGCGTCGTGGTGCCCGGTGAAGATGTGCAGGCGCTTGCATGTGGCTGCGTCCCAGATCATGATCAGCTTGTTCCTGTCTCCCGTAGCCTGGCAGAACACAGGAGGTGCCCAAGACCTGCCCCCCAGGAACTCACAGCCCACCCCAGTCTCAGCTCCCACCCCATGTCCTTTGGAGGTCCCAGGGAACCCATTCTTGACTCTGGTGGGAGTAGGGGCTGCTTTAATCCAGCAAGACATATCTGGGCATGAGACACTGCTCCCCAGGAGGAGATGTGCTCCCCGCCACCACCACTCTGCCACATGCAGCAGCACCAGCCCCCCATCCCGTACCAGGTACTTGCCATCCGACGAGATGGCCATGCAGAGGACATGGGATGCATGCCCCATGTTCTGCTGCTCCGTGCCCTTCTTTCCCCCGGGCACCACACACAGCCTCTTCCCGCTCTCCACGTCCCCTGCGGAAAAGGCATCACCATCACACTCTGGGAGCCTCCCACCACTCTGGAAAGTGCCAGTGAGCGTCCCACAGAGCGCAAAACAATGGATGAGCGTGTCCCTGGAGGGGCTGGATGCCAAGCCACTTCCACAGGAACCTGCGGTCCTGCTGCTGCAGGGTTCCCACAGGATTCAGGCTTGGGGAACAGCCGGTTGCAGCCGTAAGGGAACACTTGCATTTGATGACGGTGCCGTCCTTGGAAGCGGAAAAGATGAACTTGTCATCTGGAGAGATGACCAGACAGGTGACGGGCAGCTGGTGTCCCCTCAGCACACGGATGCTGGCTGGATCTGGAAGCTGCACCTGCAGGGAGAGCAGGACGTAAGCTGGGCTGCCCCTTCCCCAGGCATGGGGGGTATGGCACCCTCCCCTCCGAGGGCAGGAGAAGGGCCCTGGTCCCACAGTCGGCACGGCATCTCGGGGTGCCAGCCGTGCCCCAGTGTGCCCCAAAGCCAGCACTTGCAGTCCAGCATCCCCCCAGCGCTGGGCACTTACGTCTTTGGCCACCAGGCGCTGGAGCCGGCCCTTCTGCTCGAGCTGGGGAAGAAGCGGGGGGGGACTCAGTGGAGGCGGCCGCGGCCCCGCAGGAGTGGGGCAGAGCCCCCCGCCGCCACCGGCACCGGGGGGACGCGCCCGCCAGCCCGCCCGCTCACCACATCCTCCTTCAGCCGGTCGCCGATGAGATCCGCCGGGGTCTCCTCCTCCTCCTCGTCCGCCGCCCGCTCCTCCTCTGCGGAGGACACGGGGCGTGAGGGCCGGGCTCAGCGCCCGGGGCCGCCCCGCCGGGGCACAGGCACCGGGGGCCGGGCGGAACTCACCGTACTGGCGGAGCTCCTCCAGGTACAGCTTGGCCAGGCGCAGCTTCTTCTCCTGCGGCGTCTCATCTATCTCCTCCTCCGCCGCCGCCTCCCGCCGCCGCCGCCGCCCCAACGACGGGCTGCGGGGACACGCGTGAGCACCGGGACCGCCACCCCCCACCGGGACCGCCACCCCCCTGCCGCAGCCCTTACCTCTCTGTTTCGGAATCACTGGACACCTCCTCATCGACGGGCCGGCCGGCCGCCGCCCGCGGCCTCCCCTCGGCGCCCGGGACCTGCGGGAAGCAACGGAGGATCAACGGGAGGGGATGGGACGGGAGCGGTGACATCCGCCGAAGCGACCTCGCCGGGGCAGCCCCCCCTCACTCTCCCCACCCGACCCAGCCCTTACCGCCGCCCGCGGCCGCC